TGTGTTTTCTCGCCGTTCCGAGCATTGTGTCAGTGATATCACTACGTATTAGCTTCACGTGGGGCGAGAGCCAGAACCGATACAGGTACTAGACATTGGTCAGTGAATGAGTTTAGTTATACGCCGCTTTTTAGCAATATCCCAGCTATATCACGACAGAAACACCAGTCATTAAGGACCGTTCATAATTTATGGCTGGGGTGGGGGTGGTGTAATGATGATTTTATGGAGGAGCATGTACAATGTGAATGACCCCCTAAAATTTATGTACAAAAGAAGTGACACCCCTCGCATGTCATGTACAAAATCAATGACCCCCCCCCTTCCAGTAATTTCTAAGCATAATTTTAAGCATATTTTATGTACAAAATTGCTGACACCCCACCCCCACCCCAGTACGTGTGTACAAAATTGCTGACCCCTACTTGCTCCCCAGAACAAAATGGGTGACCCCCTAAAAATCATCATCGCATCCCTAGCCATAAATTATGAACGGTCCCTTTAGCGTCACACAAGACGCACATGGGTACAATGTGTGAAGCGCATTTCTGGTGTCCCCGCCGTGATATTGCTGGAATATTGCTAAAAGCGGCGTAAAACCATACTCACTCACTCACCCACACAAGACGTGACGAGTGAATGCTTTACCCACTAGGCTACCCCACCACCTTACCACGTTGGTGAAACCCACAAGGATAAGTATAGTTCTGACAAACCAGGAATCATAACGATGGCGGCCGTCTAAGACGCCGTTTTCCTTTCAGAGTAACCTTCCTTAGGCTCAACATAAACCTTTAAACCATGGGTTCGAATCTCGACTCGCTCTTATAACGGTTGTAGGTTTGTCAGCATGATTCCAGATCACGTTGGCATCCCCACAAACCAGGAATCATAACGATGGCGCCCGTCTAAGACGCCGTTTCTTTTCAGAGTTACCTTCCTGAGGCTCAACATAAACCTTTTAAACCATGGGTTCGAATCTCGACTCGCTCTTATAACGGTTGTAGGTTTGTCAGCATGATTCCAGATCACGTTGGCATCACCACGATGTTAAACGTCCACAATTTCAACCTCTTCATGCTTCCCTGTTACATCAAACTAACTCTGAGATATAACTGAAATAATATTCAAAACGGTTTCGAATCTAAACATAATCATTGAAGCTACGCATTCTAACACAGGGCAATTACCGATTAAAATCACCCTGGTAGATAGATTCTTCTCTCTTTTTTCTAACTCACCAACTGTTAATGTTAATCACAACGATACTTATAACTTCTATTTTGTATAATATCGATTTAACGACGTGGCTTAAATTGCCATGCGTCGCATATTGTTATATATATATAGGGTAGGCTTTTCGGAAACGTGTTTTCCTACAACACAGAATTTTTACCTCATGTCTTTTAAGGGAGGGTGGTGTAGCCTAGTGGTTAAAGCGTTTGGTCGTCACATCGAAGATCGGGTTCGATTCCCCACATGGGTAAAATGTGTTTTGTCCATTTTAGGTAGGGTAAAATCACACTCACTCCTCAATGTTAATATCCTGTTTGGAAATGGTTTCTTGCTGTACGAGTGAGTGAGTGAGTTTAGGTTTACGCAGCACTCAGCAATATTCCAGCTATATGGCGGAGGTCTGTAAATAATCGAGTCTGGACCAGACAATCCAGTGATCAACAGCATGAGCATCGATCTGCGCAATTGGGAACCGATGACATGTGTCAACCAAGTCAGCGAGCCTGACCACCCGATCCCGTTAGTCGCCTCTTACGACAAGCATGGGTTACTGAAGGTTCATTCTAACCCGGACCTTCACGGGGAGACAAGCATGGGTTACTGAAGGTTCATTACAACCCGGACCTTCACGGGGAGACAAGCATGGGTTACTAAAGGTTCATTCTAACCCGGACCTTCACGGGGAGACAAGCATGGGTTACTGAAGGTTCATTCTAACCCGGACCTTCACGGGTTCTTGCAGTACGAGGACCAACCAGCTCCGTCGTGGTCGACCTCAACGACATTGAAAAGTGTTTTGTTCACGTGTCGTCACTCAGGAATGGGAAATGTTTATTTGGTTTCTCCTCAGTAAAATTCTTTGAACATTTCGCATTGCAATGTACAGTCGCAGCCACGGCTTCCGGAAGTGGTTCTTCAGGAGTTGCGGGATGATATTTTGTTATTCCTCTTGTGACGTCAGCTTTCTCGGTTGCTGCTTGTATAAGGAAACGAACCTCAATTCAATGCCACTATTTCGACGTTCGAATAATTCTTACAAGCAAACCAGATCTTAATCGGTACCATGACATAAAGTGACTAAGAAAGAGTCTGTCTCGACTCTCACCTTGCCTTGCTCCAAGGCTGTCCTCCCCTCATGGACACAATGTGTGAAGCCCATTCCTGGTGTCCCCACCGTGATTTTGCTGGAATATTGCTAAAAGCAAGGCTGTACTGAATGCTAAGTCCATGGGTGTACAATAGTTCTATCCTTTAAAGAAAAAAGCGGACAGTTCTAAGGACGCCAGTCTGTTATTTATATTCTCTTTTCAGAAATTATCAATAGAACTATTAATTATTACCTAAGAGACTTGTGGAAGTTACCCATAAGAAATAGTTTTTGTTGAAACGTGTTCCATGGTCATTTTACGCTAAAAGTAGTCGCGCATTACTATACCATGCAAAAATAGTCGTAACCAGCATTCATTTGAGTGAATTCCACAAGGGAAACCGCCGAATGTTGAAATTTTATTCTTTTCCTGCTACAAATAAAATAGATATGTTTTGTTTGTTTGTTTTATCTCCATGGCTTTATAATAGTGTTCTGTTTTCCATAACTATTTTATGCCAGTGACGCTGAAACCAAGATTTCAGTGTATTTCCGGGCTTCAATGACCCGTACGAGTGAATGAGTTTACTTTTACGCCGCTTTTAGCAATATTCCAGCAATATCACGGCGGGGGACACAAAAAATGGGCTTCACACATTGTACCCATTTGGGGAATCGAATTCGTGTCTTCGGCGTGACGAGCAAACGCTTTAACCACTAGGCTACCCCACCACCCGACCCGCACGAACCCTGTGCTTGTCAGTAAAACACATCAATCATATGGCGCTGTTTTACTATTTATTCCCCGTTTTATTGTATCAATGATTCATTTACTGATATCACCAGTTCAATTTTTACATATAAATATATATATGCATTGATATAACAAACTTGAAATGCATTTACTGATATCTAAAATAACTGATATCATTATCTATATTTTTAAATGAATTATCAATATCACTAACTCGAATTCGCGCTAATTCTGGAAATATGCAGGCCTATTATGTTTTTGTGTCTTAAAAACATGTTCCATATGTTGTATGTATTTATATGTATAATGGAATTGTGGCATCACAATATTAATAATTATTCTATCAACAAGTTGTTTGTGGTTGTATTTTTAATATAATACTAAGGGGATAAGTAAAATTACCCCTCAAATTGGACACAACGCTCGCGTAAGCCTAAGATCTCGTAACTTTTCTCGTAGCATTCGTGCCTCCTATACTGTAACATATGATGTACTAATGCTACGAGAAAAGTTACGAGATCTTAGGCTAACGAGAACGTTGTGAAACGGGGCCCTGAAATGTCTGCCTGTGGTGACATTATGTGGACATTTTTATGTCCTTTTATATTGCATATTTACAACTTATGAATATATCACTCGGCTCAGAAAAAATATTTAAACTTTTAAGGGGCCAATTATACAGCCGAAATAATTTCTCCGAACGAAAGTATTTTTTCTCATTTGGAGAAAAAGAAAAGTCACCAACATCATCAATATCACGGAGCAAACATCTGTTGGAGGCATTTAGAAGTTGGAGCAGTAAGGAAGGATAGCAATATGTGGATCAACAACTCCTTTATTGCTGTGAGAGCGACGTAACAGTGTTAGAACCTACACCGAAACGTCGCTCTCACAGCAATAAAGAAGTTGTTCATCCATATATTGTTATCCTTCATCACGGAGCAAAGTTGAAAAATATTTGTAGCATAACTCTTTATAGAACAACATGTACATATTGACGCGCAAAACAAACAAACTGGAAAAAACGATATGTTTTAAAATACGGGCATATATTTCTTAATAACCGGGACATACCAGACTTATTGTGGCGTCGTCAAATCTGCACACGTTATACCTGACTTCGCATCGCATCCAGAGATGTCATAAAGAAATTGTCTTAATGTCACATTGTATTTGCCAATACCGTGCATGCTTCCTGATAAAAGTATTGTTGTTGCACAATGATACATGATATGTGTCTAAATTACCGCACGCGCCATCAGTCTGTAGGCAACATCGGATATACCGAACAAAGATATTTCGTAAAAAGTAAAAATATTTTTTCACGTTTATACCTTTGTTATCCCAGAATAAAATAATAACCTATTTTGATCAAAGCAATAACAAAACATGTAACATGCCACCTACCACCACCGACACGCCAAAACAATCTTTCAAAGGAGTTATTTCAGTTCTACTTTATATCACAATTCTTTTTTCATATTTACTGATAATTGTATCTCTCCGTTACAGACAATCGCAGCTTCTGTTTTGAAATGTCTAAATGTGTCTCACAGTCATTAATCTCCGTCAGCTAAACGGAAGTAATCGCTCTCAGTAAACAATTTGGAATTTAATCATATTTTGTATTAGTTGAGATTTTGTGTACCAAATGACACTAGTGTTTCCATATGCCCCAAGAACGACACAGTTCTCTCCCGATCCATAACTTGAAGTGCACGTAGTTTAAACGCTGCACCATAAACCACCATTACAATCCCCCTCCACCAAAACAACGCTTACTGCCCACATAGGCACTGTTAGCGGAAACTGGGGGGATTTCGGTGTCAATTATCTGTGCCTCCCTTCCCCTCCCCCTCTCTATCCCCTCCCCCACAGATAGACACCGCTTAGGCATACGTCCGATGAGCCAGCTTTCTTCTACCCCTCGTTCTTGTCATACTGGCGTGCGCATGTGTGAGCCTGTCGGGCCTGCTTGCTTTGTTTGTCTGTGGCTCCGGGGTGCCCGTACTCTCCTGTAGAATTGGCTAGAAATGAATCCGTAGGGATGTACACTCAAGATTAGGTGCCGGTGCCGTCGCTGCTATCCCTTTGCCTGAACTAACGGAGGACCATCAACTAGCATCTCTTCCCATTATGACCTAATTCCATCTCACGGAGGCACCGCATCTTGAATTGATATACTCCAGTTACTGCCGATAGGTGGTGGGGAAGTCGGGCTTACGTCGACTGAACACATTTAAACAAGGTAAGCCCAGTCTCCATGTGTCTGTCTTTGAATTCAGGGTAGATTTTGACAAGTGCGAGCGTCTACCAATGTTTGGTCGGCAGTGGAACAGTTGAGTGGAGAGCAGTAAAGGCTTGACCTCGGACTTCAGTGCGCTCGGCACCTCATTCGCTCCCTACCGTTTCGACTATTCGGTGGAAATGCTAGCAGTGGATGTTCTAAATACGTTGGGATTATAAACTCGCAAGGTCAGATTAAACTCTAGGTACTAGCACGGTAAATATACAATTGATATTTACAGCTCTGTTTTTTTCACCGCAAGCTCTGTCTGTAAGTTGAGAATCTGCCAAATCCCTTTCGCCATTTTGCTTACAGGTTTCTCCGACTGAGATGTGGGTTGCCTTTGAAGAGATGTTTTGAAGTAGCCATACGTGCCCCTTTATAAGGCACAAGGGTCAACCGCGACCCTTCACTGGATATATAGTAGGATATGGTGGATATATGTGTGCAGAGTGTGTAAATGGGATAGAACGACGCAATCATCTTCTGTGTGGGTCAGATCTGGCGTATTCAGACAGTTGGGAATCCAGTCAGGAAACACGTATTGTTTTACAACATCGCCAGCGGGGCGGATGCTTCTTCCAACTGTACGGATCTATTGTGTGATACAGAACTATGGCGCCCACTTTACACTGTTCCTCCATGCCAAGTTGATACCGTGTCTGTGTTTCAGTGCTGCTATCGACAATGTGACCGATTATCGAAATAAGGTGAGCTTTTTCAAAATGTGGTCGAGAGGTTATGACCTTTGCCTTCCGAGGTCACCTGTCGGTGGTTGATTCCTTTGGATACCAGTTCTGGTGTGCAGTTTAAAGTTTCCTAGCAAATTTTATTTATGACTTGAGTGTTTGTTTACCCAAACCCAAGGGATTAGCGGAAAATAGAATGCAAAGAAGCTCCATGAAACCCAGTAGTATGGCGGTCGGAGCTAGCATTCTGAAACCTCCAAAACCACCTCGTTGGAGGGACTTCGTGGATCCAGCACCTTCATCTCATAGTAAAGACTTGAATAAAGCACAGGATCATGGCGACTCGGGTAAACCCTACTGTGCCAAGTCAGGTGTGCATGATTTGGGGGAGAGCAAAATCCCTACCCCTCATCCTCAGGGCGGGGGAAGAACATGTAAAGGGTTAAAACGGGTGCGTGCCAAAATACATCGTACCCGAAGTCAACATGTGATAGATGAGGAGGATTTGCCTGATGGCGCTTTGACTATGACTCTTGCCGAAACCAAACCTCAAGAATTCGGGCTTCGAAATAGACAGGTGCTTGACGATAGGTCTTATAAAGAGGAAAACGCTCGTCGGTGTCAAATATGGTTGGAAAGTATTGAAAAGTGTGTGCCTTTAGATGAAATAGCTTACACGGAGGGTGCGGGAGAGGAGGGGGTGGACGTTGAGGTTCCGGAGGAGACGAGGTGGAGTGAGGATGGGGAGCCACTGAGGCCCCCCTTCAACACCAGCGCGTCAAGCTCGGAGGGGGAGGAGTATGAGGCCTACCCCACACGAGAGACCCTTGTCCCAGGGCTATCTGTTGGTTCCCCCCAATCTCTGAGAACGGATAAATTATTAAAATCCTCATCATCAACATGTATGCATGATAAACTGATACGAAAGAAAACTTTGCCAATCTCTGAAGACACGGGGCTTGAATGATTCTGCTTATGCAACTCTGGGTAAAAAATATATATTTTTGTCACTGTTATTGGATGTATATTTGTTGTGTTGAAGGTTTAAACAGTGATGTGAAAGAGACGGCAGATGCCCTATTGGGGCATCATTGTGTTCTGTGCCGGGGGTTACTGGTGTATGTCCCTATTGAGTGACACCTCTGCTCTAAAGCGTTGTGAACTGAGAAACCGAGGACTATCGTCTGCTGACTGTCGTCTGCTGCGATAGAAGTCAACAATTATCTCCCCTGTTTGTGTCATACATTTGGTATATATATTGCTAAATCAGGGGAGTTGGACGTATCGGGGATTTTAGCCAAAATAAAACGTTGAGTTGAAAGTAGGTAAATATTTGACTGTTCTCTGTCTGGACTCGTGTAAGAATCTCATTCTCATGTTGTGGTAGATATCCCGGTGACAACTTTAACCCTGACCTCTCTACTTTTGGTCACTACTATGAATGTATGTCACATATTGCAAGTGGATTTAATTGTACATGTTGCCCAGAAACATCGTGTGCTCCTTTCATCTGATTTCTTGTGAGGCACACCAGACTTAACACTTTACACATATCTGTCTGATAATGTACAAAAATGTCTCACACTGTACACTGTAAACACACCTGACACTGTACACACACAGTACACACACCTGACTGACACTGTACACACAAGACTCACACAGTACACACACCTGGCTCACAAAGTACACATACCTGGCTAACACCCTACACACACCTGGCTCACAAAATACATTACCTGGCTCACACTGTACACACAAAACTCACACAGTACACACACCTGGCTCACACTGTACACACACCTGGCTCACACAGTACACACACCTGGCTCACACTGTACACACACTGGCTCACACTGTACAGACAAGACTCACACAATTACACAAACTGGCTCACACTGTACACACACCTGGCTCACAAAGTACATCCACCTGACTCACAATGTACACACACCTGACTCACAAAGTACACACACCTGACTCCACAAAGTACACACACCTGACTCACAAAGTACACACACCTGGCTCACAAAGTACACACACCTCAAGATCTACACACACCTGACAAACACTGTATATACACAAGATTAACACTGCTCACACACCTGACTGACACTGTACACACACACCATGCTCACATAGTACACACATCTGTCTGACACTGTACACACACCTGACACTTTGAACCTATATGACGGACACACTGTATACACACCTCACATTACACACATCTGTAGGACACTGTACACACACCTGACTAACACTGTACACACACCTTACACTGTACACACAACTGACTAACACTGTACACACACTGACTCACACTGTACACACATCTGACACTGTACACACACCTGACTGACACTGTACACACACCTGACATTGTACACACACCTGACACTGTACACACCTGACTGACATTGTACACACACCTCACTAACACTGTACACACCTGACTGACACTGTACACACACCTGACACTGTACACACACCTGATTGACATTGTACACACACCTGACTAACACTGTACACACACACAGACTAACACTGTACACACACTGACTAACACTGTACACACACCTGACTGACACTGTATACACACCTGACTAACACTGTACGCACACCTGACTAACGCTGTACACACACCTGACTGACACTGTACACACACCTGACTAACACTGTACACACACCTGACTAACACTGTACACACACCGGACTAACACTGTACACACACCTGACTAACACTGTACACACACACCGGACTAACACTGTACACACACCAGAATGACACTGTACACCTGATCACACACTGACACTGTACAGACACACAGCTGACATTGTACACACACCTGGCTGACATTGTACACACCTGGCTTCCATTGTACACACACCTGGCTTCCATTGTACACACACACCTGACACAGACACCTGTACACACACCTGACTGACACTGTACATACACCTGACACTGTACATACACACCTGACAATGTACACACACCTGACACTGTACTGTACACACACCTGACACTGTACACACACCTGACACAGTACACACACCTGACACAGTACACACACCGGACTGACATTATACACACACCTGACTGACATTGTACACACGCACCTGACTGACACTGTACACACACTGACACTGTACACACACCTCACACTGTACACACACCTGATGGTGTACACACCTGGCTGACACTGTACACACAATGACTGACACACACATGACGTTGTACACACACCTGGCTGACACTGTACACACACACCTGACTGACACTGTACACACAACTGACACTGTACACACACCTGACACTGTACACACACCTTACTGACACTGCACACACAAACCTGATTGACACTGTACACACACCTGACTGGCACTGTACACACAAACCTGACACTATACACACATCTGATTGACACTGTACACACACACCTGACTGACACTATACACACACACACCTGACTGACTGTACACACCTGACTGACACTGTACACCCACACCTGACTGACACTGTACACACACCTGACTGACACTGTACACACACACCTGACTGGCACTGTACACACACACACCTGACACTGTACACACACCTGATTGACAATGTACACACACACCTGACTGACACTGTACACACACCTGACTGACACTATACACACACACCTGACTGACACTGTACACACACCTGACTGACACTGTACACACACACCTTACGGACACTGTACACAAACCTGACTGACAAATTTACACACACACCTGACTGACACTGTAACACACACTTTGTTCATACCTATGTGTGAATAGTGTGAATCAGGTTTCTGTTTTACGACCATACAGGTGTGTGCACGAGTGTCAGTCAGATGTTGCGTCATACAGGTGTGTGTAAGTTGTGAGTCAGGTGTTAACAGAACCATACCTATCATGTGAACAGTGTGAGTCAGGTTTCGTTTTAAGGTGTGACAGTCGTCAGTTATTATTGCGTACGGTGTCGTCAGGCGTGAGTCAGGTGTGTTCATTCAGGCGTGAGTCAGGTGTGTTACATGTTGGTCATTCAGGTGTGAGTCAGTTGTGTTACATGGTCATACAGGTTTGTGTACAGTGTGAGTCAGGTGTGATACAGGGTCATGCAGGTGTGTGTACAGTATGAATCAGGTGTGTTACAGGGTCATATAGGTGTGTGTATAGTGTGAGTCAGGTGTATTTCAGGTCATACAGGTTGTGTTTATAGTGAGTCAGGTGTGTTACGATCTGTACAGGGATTAGGTGTGTGTATAGTGTGTTAGGTATAGTGAGTCAGGTGTGTTACAGGGTCATACAGGTGTGTGTATAGTGTGAGTCAGGTGTGTTACAGGGTCATACAGGTGTGTGTATAGTGTGAGTCAGGTGTGTTACAGGGTCATACAGGTGTGTGTATAGTCTGAGTCAGGTGTGATACAGGTGTGTGTATAGTGTGTCAGGTGTGTTACAGGGTCATACAGGTGTGTACAGTGTGAATCAGGTGTATTTCAGGGTCATACAGGTGGGTGTATAGTGTGAGTCAGGTGTGTTACAGGGCCATACAGGTGTGTGTATAGTGTGAGTCAGGTGTGTTACAGGGTCATACAGGTGTGTATAGTCTGAGTCAGGTGTGATTACAGGTGTGTGTATATGGTGTGTCAGGTGTGTTACATACAAGATGTGCGCAGTGTGGTCATACAGGTATTGTACAGTGTGGGTCAGGTTTCAGGGTCATACAGGTGGGTGTATAGTGTGAGTCAGGTGTGTTACAGGGCCATACAGGTGTGTGTATAGTGTGAGTCAGGTGTGTTACAGGGTCATACAGGTGTGTGTATAGTGTGAGTCAGGTGTGTTACAGGGCCATACAGGTGTGTATGTATGGTCAGGTGTGAGTCAGGTGTGTGTATATAGTGTGAGTCAGGTGTGATACAGGTTAATACAGGTGTGTGTACAGTGTGAGTCAGGTGTGTTACAGAGTCATTCAAGTGTGTGTACAGTATCAGGTGTGTGTTTCAGAGTGTCCACACACTTATGACTGACACTGACACATCTTTCACACATAGGGCAGACATTAGACATACATCTGACTGACATCATGTACACACATCTGACGTACATGACTCGGCAATGTGTGTCAGAGACTGTTTTGATAGTTCATAGCCCACTGAAACGCCATGTCACGGTTTAACCCAAATACCCACCTAGACACAATATACTTACTCTAAGCCGACCAGTCCTTGTTCTATCCCCTCATGTAGGATAATAACAAGCACAATCGGCCGGGATCGAACAGCAGATGTTAGGCTCCCCGGGCAGACGCACTGTCCACTAGACCATGGGCAGCTAAATGTATGCAATACTCAGCAGCGGTAGATATATACCACAAACACATACAGCTGTTCCATATATAGTTGAACTGAATCTTTTGCAGTGCTGCCATATATGTTATAACGTCGCTAGAGCAGGTGTGTTGTAAACAATAATTACAGCTGAGCCGTGTGTAGTTGAAAACATCTGTAATGGCGTGTGATATATGCTCTTCGCTGACATTTTCATAGGTGGCATATTCGAGGGCGTATGAAGCTATGCCACGTATAGTTAAACATTTACAAGGCTCACAGACTTTCTTAAACAACATTTACAGCAATGCCATACACCCTAAACAACATTTACAGCAATGGCATACACCCTTAAACATTTACAGCAAGGCAATACACCCTTAAACATTTACAGCAATGTCATACACCCTTAAACATTTACAGCAATGTCATACACCCTTAAACAACATTTACAGCAATGCCATACACCCTTAAACATTTACAGCAAGGCAATACACCCTTAAACATTTACAGCAATGCCATACACCCTTAAACATTTACAGCAATGCCATACACCCTTAAACATTTACAGCAATGTCATACACTCTTAAACAACATTTACAGCAATGCCATACACCCTTAAACATTTACAGCAATGTCATACACCCTTAAACATTTACAGCAATGTCATACACCCCTTAAACATTTACAGCAATGTCATACACCCTTACAACATTTACAGCAAGGCAATACACCCTTAAACATTTACAGCAATGCCATACACCCTTAAACATTTACAGCAATGTCATACACCCTTAAACATTTACAGCAATGTCATACACCCTTAAACAACATTTACAGCAAGGCAATACACCCTTAAACATTTACAGCAAGGCAATACACCCTTAAACATTTACAGCAATGCCATACACCCTTAAACATTTACAGCAATGTCATACACCCTTAAACATTTACAGCAATGTCATACACCCTTAAACAT